GCTCTTCTGGGCCCGCATCACCAGCTCGCTGGGCGCGATGGCCTCCAGGCACCCAGCGCACTTCACCGCGAAGAGCCTGGGGGAGCAAAGAGAAGGCCCTGGTGGGACGCCCGACGGTGAGAAGAGGGCCCCGGGGCACCCGCAGTGGGGAGGGAGCATCACAGCCACGTAGGGTGGGAGGGGTGTCAGCACGGGATCCCTCCCGGTCACCCCAGCAGCCGTCAGGGCTTTGGCTGTGCTGCAGGACCCGGCACGGAGGTGTTAGCAACCCCACAGTGACCAGGCGCAAGCTTGCCCTACGCTGATGGGCGGGATGCTGTCTTCGGGCCAACTTTGGCACTGCGGGTTGACCTATCACAACATCCACCGTCAACACCGTCAGCGGATGAAGACCCCAGCGCCTGGATGCTCCGGGTGAAACCACACAGGTGTCAAACCCAACGCAGCAGCTACCGTCACAACAGGACACGGGCGCACCATGCCCACATGAGTTTTATTAACTCTGCCTATCTATCTGCCTCGCAGGCCGGCTCACAGACTATTTCCCAGACGTGAGGAAACGCTGAAGGCTGCAACAGCGTTTGCAAACTCATCCACGACCACCAACAAGCACCTATGAAAACCAGCTCGGGGCTTGGGGTGATGGCCACTCTCCAGGGCAGATGGGAAGTAAATCTTGCTCCGTGCTGTTGCTGGCAGGTCTGGGGTGCAGATACGGGCCTCACCATGCTCAAGGCCTAGGGAGATGGTTAACGGGGCGAGTAATAGCAATATCTGTCTTGCCTCCTGCAGGGAGCACCACCGTAAAATCAATGTTGGCCTGAGAGGACTTTAAGGATCTGGAGCTAAACCCTGGGCTGGATGTTTCAAGTGAATGAGATGTTTCCCCTAATATGGATTTTTCGTGGTACTAAACCAGAAGCTGTTTGTCACCCTCAAGTATCTGTGTTTTTGGCATGGGCCCCATAAAGAAAAACTCCCTGTTTACCCAGCCTTGTTCTAAACATCTGTGAGAACCGGACTTTATTATTCCCCCGTCTGGATGATTTTGGCCTCGAAAGAGAAGCCAGAAGTCAGCAGCACATCCTGCCGAGGTTATCTCAGAGCATCTCCCACCGCCCTTCCCGGAGATGCCCAGGGACCGGGCAGGGAGAGCGGTGCGTCCAGGCCTGCCGCAGCCCCAGCCGCCACGGGGAGCTCGCGCCGCCGCCGCCCCGCTGCGAGCCGC